GGTATTGTGTCAAACGTGTTAAGCAGATGGAGGAATGTAATGGAGGAATGTGTGGTACGGTTGACAATGACTTCTTGGAACTGAACAATGAAACCAAGCAACTTTTCTAGTTCAGCTGATTTGAGCATTCTTAGCTTGGTGGGAGGATAATAATCCCAATCATGCTATGCAGATATAATTAAGGGGCAATTGAGAGAGTAATTTGTGTGCCAATTGGGCCGAGCTAGGAAAGGTCGTCTTTTGATGTTGGGCCGCGCATTGGGCCGAGCCAGGTTCCTAGTTAGCTCGGTCCTAGACTGGCAGTTGTTAGGACGGTCAGTAGGTTTGGGCCCCTCTATCCGTGTGCGGGTCGAGGTAACATGTTAAGTAAATGATGAAGGCCGAGCTACATTTAGCCCGGTCACTTGTGGAATGAAGTAGAATAGCTCAGTTAGGTATAACTAACAGGGCGAAGAGTTCCATCTCACTTGGCAAGCAGTGAGAAAGGTGTTTTAATGATGGGCATTATCCTTAAAGATGTGATTCCTATGAGGACTCTGCTAAGGAGAGCTAGAGTCCTACTAGGATTGTGCCACATGGAATCTATAAAAGCTCATTACTACATCTAGTTTGAGGTATGACAATTCTCACTCACAAATACACAGAGCTTATTGTCTATTGTTTACTTGTTGACTTAGGCATCAAAGGGTTTATTGCACATACCCGCCGGCTAGCTCACGTGTGTTTTCAAGTAGCAAAACGACAACGTTTGGAGGAGTGCAAACTTGATCAACAAGACTATACGAGAAAATTATTACGTGCTCGTACAGTTTGGTTTATGAATTTGGAAAGAGAAAGAAAAAAAATAAGTAAAATGTGAGTGAAATATAATTATATTTCACTTAAGTTTCACACACTTTTCTCTTTTTACTTTCAAATTCCTCTCTAAATTCATGAACTAAAAAACCGTAGTGTTTATATATAAGAAGTGGTGAAACATTGAGCTATAAATGTAAATTGAAAAAAAGAAACTTGGTACATAAATCTACTTTTTAAATAACTTTCTATACTTAATGATGTGTAAAAAAAATGATTAGTTGATAATTAGAAAAGAGAAAGGCCTAAGAAAGAGAGTTTGCCTTAAATATTCTAATAGACTACTATTATTGAGTTTGAAAAATAAAACTAATTTTTTTAATTAAAGTAACACTACTAAAAATTACTTAAAGATGAATCTTAAACTTCTAAAGTTTAAATACTTATAAATACTTTTGAACAAGAACATATCACTAATTTTTTTCTAATTATTTTAAGATTATTTATCTGACAAAATCTTCATTTATTATATTTTGTATATACAATTTAAGCCTCGTTTCACAAGAGTTAAATTGATTAAATAAATATAAAAAGATAAAATAGGCTAAATAAGTTAATCAGATAAAATATCACATCCAAATCATAATCATTTTACTTTTTTTTCCATAATTATCACATCCAAACCAAAAAAAGCCAAAAGTTATTCCCAAACAGAACTAATTTACCAAGCTAAATTAATCAAAAAATTAGAAAAAATTAATTTTTTTCCACAAAAACTTAAATGAGTCATTTTTTTGAGTAAGTAATTTGAATGAGTCATGCTAATGAAGTAGATGGAATACAAAATATTAAAAACACTCAATATACTTTTTATGTATTAAACATACTTTTACATGTTTTTTTACTTGTGGAATGAAGTAGAATAGCTCAGTTAGGTATAACTAACAGGGTGAACTGTTCCATCTCACTTGGCAAGAAGTGAGAAATGTGTTTTAATGATGGGCATCATCCTTAAATATGTGATTCCTATGAGGATTCTGCTAAGAAGAGCTAGAGTCCTACTAGGATTGTGTCACATGGAATCTATAAAAACTCATTACTACATCTAGTTTGAGGTATGACAATTCTCACTCACAAATACACAGAGCTTATTGTCTATTGTCTACTTATTGACTTAGGCATCAGAGGGTTTCTTGCACATACCCGTCGGCTAGCTCACGTGTGTTTTCAAGTAGCAAAACGACAACGTTTGGAGGAGTGCAAACTTGATCAACAAGACTATACGAGAAGATTATTACGTGCTCGTACAGTTTGGTTTATGAATTTGAAAAGAAAAAGAAAAAAAATAAGTAAAATGTGAGTGAAATATAATTATATTTCACTTAAGTTTCACACACTTTTCTCTTTTTACTTTCAAATTCCTCTCTAAATTCATGAACTAAAAAACTGTAGTGTTTATATATAAGAAGTGGTGAAACATTGAGCTATAAATGTAAATTGAAAAAAAGAAAATTGGTATTAAATCTACTTTTTAAATAACTTGCTATACTTAATGATGTGTAAAAAAAATGATTAGTTGATAATTAGAAAAGAGAAAGACCTAAGAAAGAGAGATTACCTTAAATATTCTAATAGACTACTGTACGGAAAAGAAATATACTTCCTCGTATAATCCTGTTGACCAAGTCTGTGCTCCTCCGTACGACGTCGCCTTATCACCTGAAAACACAAACGTGAGCTAACCGGCGGGTGTGTGCCGGAAACCTCTCCGATGCCTAAGTCAGCAAATTTGACAAATAGACAAAGCTCTGTGAATTTAGAAAGCAAAGTTGTGTGTTACCTCCTCCAAGGTGATATTTGTGAGCTTTTATAGGTTTCGAGTGGCACAATCCTAGTAGGACTTCTACTCCTCCATGTAGAGTCCTCATAGGATTCATACTCCTGAAAGATAATGCTTATCCTTCAACCCCCCTCACTGCTTAAACCAAGTGAGATGGTTTTTACCATGGCCGAACTACCATATGACCGAAATAAAATTGGCTATGCTGAGCCACAGAGTAGGCCGAACTATCCTTAGTTCAGTTTTTTCCTTTTACTCCTCCTTATCTCGGTTCTCTCCTGTTCAACCCATGGTGTGTTTAGACCGAGCTACCGAGTAGCAATGTTTTGACCGTTCTAATCATAGCACATCATGACCGGACTACCCCTGAGACCGGCCTAACTCCAAGTTGCTTCCGGACCGGAGTAACTTTACAATTCTTGGGCCGGAGTAACTTTACAATTCTTGGGCCGGAGTAACTTTATCTCTCTTGTGGGCCGGAGTAACTTTTCGGCCTTTTTACCCAGTCCTTCATACTTTGGGCCATAAAGTCCATCTCATAGCCCGGCCCAATTTTCACCAAAAATTACCCTCTCAACTACTATATTATTGAGTTTGAAAAATAAAACTAATTTTTTTAATTAAAGTAACACTACTAAAAATTACTTAAAGATGAATCTTAAACTTCTAAAATTTAAATACTTATAAATACTTTTGAGCAAGAACATATCACTAATTTTTTTCTAATTATTTTAAGATTATTTATCTGACAAAATCTTCATTTATTATATTTTGTATATACAATTTAAGCCTCGTTTCACAAGAGTTAAATTGATTAAATAAATATAAAAAGATAAAATAGGCTAAATAAGTTAATCAGATAAAATATCACATCCAAATCATAATCATTTTACTTTTTTTCTCACAACTATCACATCCAAACCAAAAAAAGCCAAAAGTTATTCCCAAACAGAACTAATTTACCAAGCTAAATTAATCAAAAAATTAGAATAAATTAATTTTTTTCCGCAAAAACTTAAATGAGTCATTTTTTTGAGTAAGTAATTTGAATGAGTCATGCTAATGAAGTAGATGGAATACAAAATATTAAAAACACTCAATATACTTTTTATATACTAAACATACTTTTACATGTTCTTTCATAAGAAATTGAGACTGACAATTTAAATTTCATAATTCTATTAATAATAACATAGCTATATATGTTATTTTTTTTTTATTATAAATTTAATTATATAAGACTCAATTCTACTGCCATGTCATTATAAATGAATTGTAAAATTTAAATTATGAGTATTTAGAATTTTTTATTTTTAAATATTACAAATATTTTTTATATATAAATTGAGATAAATAATCATTAAGGCCATTGATATGTTTAAGAATAATTACACTAAGACCCCCTCAACTATTAGCAAATATCACTTATCTCATTTAGGCTGGGATTGTTTGGGATGTTTTAAATAAATGTACTTTTTGACTTTTTATGAAATATGAGTTGGGTTTGAAGTGATGTGATTTAAATAAGATGATGCGATTTAAATAGGATAATGACCTTTTGATTTTTTGGCTTTTTTTAAAGATGCCAAACTTAGGATAGTCACTTCAAACCCAACCCATATTTCATAAAAAGTCAAAAAGTGCACTTATTTAGCACATTCCAAATTTAAATCGGTACATATTAATCCCTCAATTATGACAATCGTAAAAATACACATCTTTCAAATGTGGTATAAAAGGGGCCTATGTGGAATAAAAGCAGGCATGAACAAATCTCGAACCGAGCCGGGCCGAGTTCGGACTGAGCTTATGCAATATAACAAGATGATATGTGTCATCCTAATGCTAGCCCGACAAAACTTCAGGTCTAATCTAGCTATCTCAAATTCAGTCTTAAAAATATTTTCAAAGCTCAAACCCGTCCACTTAACCAAATAGATAGGAGTTATTAATTTTTTTATTTTTATTTTTATCTTGAATGGATATTAAATTATTTATATTTTATTTATTATTTAAATTTGAAATATTAACAAAATTTAATAATAAAATAAATATGATTTTTAACAAATGTTTTAATATAAACCTAAAATATATATACATTTTTTTTAAAAAATTTTACATTTTTTCTACTTTCTTTTATAATTAAAATAATATTAAACTATAATTAATATATTATAAATGGGCAAATCAAGCTGAATTGGACAATAAACTCTGGGAAATTTTATTTCCACACACCAAGTTTCTTTATTCCAAAAAAATCAAATAATTATAAATTTAATATAATATTTTATTTTATTAATTATTTTATTTTATTTTATCCATTTCAATCCCAAAAAACCAAAACCCAACTTGCCAAGGCCATATTTTATATTGTGATTTCACCATTTTCTCCCCTGAAATTACTTTCTTCTCTCTCTCTCTCTCTCTCTCTCTCTAGATAGAAGATATACAGAAACAGATACCTGTCTCTGTGTATCGAGTTGATCGTTTACGAGTAATCGGCCTCTGCAAAGGTATGATTTTTCAGTAGAAATCTCCACCATCGTCACCGATCATCCTTTCATTAACCGTTACTGCGAAATTTCATGTTTTTTCATATAATTTTTTATGTGCCTTTTTATTCGATTGTGTTCTTGTTTAATTTGTTCATCGATTGTATGATCATTATATATTTTCTCATTCTGATTTGCATTTTTGGTTGATCAATGGTTTCTTTTGACAATCTTCGTTTCTGTGTAGCGTGAGAGGGTTTGATGTATATATGTGTGTGTGTGTGTGTGTTCGTCCTGTTTTAAGACTAGTTTTTTTTTTTCCCCCTTTGATTGAGTTGATGATAATGATGAGGTTGTGTCAGTTGTCTTTTTTTTATTTTATTTATAAATATTAATTTTTTTGTTTGTATAATGGAGTTGAATCAGATAACCATTTTGGGTTTGTGATTGTTGACGTGCATATTTGATTCCGCCCTGATTTGCTAACTCTTGTTTTTGGATTTAAATAGTAGTAGTACTGACAAAAGTTAATATCTTTGCTGGGTTGAATTAAGGGTTGTTTTGAGAATTGACTTTTTAGTGTTTTTTTTTTTGGCATTTTATTAAGAGATCGTGCATAAAAACGTAGAGATGATAGTTTTATTTTATTAAAAGACGTGCAAAAAAAACGTAGTAAAGACGTGCAAAAAAAACGTAGAGATGATAGTTTTTTTTTAATAGTTTTTTGACTTTTTGGCTAAAAGTATTCTTTATTATACTAGAGCAGTAGAACTTACAAATTATAACTTCAGTTCAGGGTTTGAGCAAATTTGCATTATTTCTAGTAAAAGATTGAGGCTGATGGTCTTGGTTTAGGGGATACCAAGTGTTTCTCTTATTTATCTTATCACAATTGTGTTGATGGTTCCATCTTCTATAAATCTGTTTCATTTTGATTGTTTGGTTTGTTGATTACACTGGTCATATGAATTCAAGGAATAATCTTTGAGCCAAAATTAAGATCAGTTTTGGCAGTGCTGCTTTGTGTCTTATCTCTTAAACTGCTTTCTCAGCCAAATTGTACAAAATAGGAGAGCGAATTAGCATACTAAATGCAGAAATTGTGTCGTTTTTGGTTTAAGTTGATCAAAACAGGTGTAATCATAGATATATGTAATTTGCATAAGCTGTAATTTTCAGTATGAAGTTTTTATAGAATGCTGTAACTTCATACTGAACTGGAAATCAACTGCCTATTTGACTTTGCTGTTTGTTGTTGTACACCACAACTATGATATTAACCGTGGTCTTTAACTTCCCTGACCACCATCATCTGACATGGTTTGGTTTTGTTGTTAATATTGAAAAGTGAGTGGTTTTGATTGCGTTAAAGAACATCCTAATCTGACCCTAAGAATAATAATATGGTAATATGCTTTAGCAAGGGATAATTCATTGTTTTAGTTAAAAATTTGGTAAGAAATGGGCCGGAAATGTAAGTAGTGATAAACAGCAATTAATCACAGGTGGTGAATAATAAAGGCAGCAATATACAGATTTGGGTATGTCTGATCCAATTTGGTCAAGAGTTCAGTAGCCACTGTCTATCTCAGGCTTTGGCACAATTTGATTGAGGAAATCCATGTCTTGCTACCTCCTCTTCAACTGAAGGACCTCTAATATGTGCATGCCAAGGGCATAGTAATCCAAATTCCAATCATTTCTGTGTATTGTTACAACGTTCTTAGTTGGGAATACATACTCTTAATGATGAATTATGCTAGAAGCATTAAAAAACTGTACTAGGGTGATTACTCGATGCACTGGATTGTCACAATCCTTGTTTAAGCTGAAAATAATGTGTTTGATTTATCAAGTAATTGAAGGCTGCTATCACAGTTGATAGATAAGCAAAATTCAGGTGTAGAAATATTTAATATGCCTAGCACCCAAAATTCAAGTGTTTGATTTTTCTAGTAATTCAAGATTGCTATTACAGCCAATAGATAAGCAAAGATGAGTAGAAAATTTTAATATACCTAGCATTTATTTGTACCGATGATGCATTCTTTTATGGAGAATTCTAGTAAACAAAATCTTAATGGCTGGATCTCATGCCAACTAGTAAAATTTTGTCATTATCTTGTACTCATAATTTCATTACTTTGTCAAATGCGTATGGCCCTGGAAGCTCAGAGCTCATTCATCTGAAAATGAAATCATGGTGTCTTCACTAACTTCACACTCTGCCCTGAATTTCCAAAATCATTTGAATGACAATACCACAATAACGTTTGCACTCATGAATTTGAAAACCTTCTACTTATTTTAAGCAATCATCCATCTTTCCATATGACTAGATATCTTGTGGTTACTCTAAATGGAAAATTGGCAGGTCTGGAAGAGGAAATCAAGCTTTCTTATCACATGTCATTTGGGTTTATGTGCTTTATGCTTCACATTTATGAGCCATATAAAATGAAGTTCCTTAGAAAAAGCTTGCCCATAAAAGAGCTAAGCCCACACACACTATGCTTTTCCGCTAGCTTTCCCTTCAAGAAAAGATTGTGCCACTTCTAATCCAAAGATCAAGAAAAAATTTGTGAATTTTCTCCCCAATTTTCCATGGTAACTAAACAAAAAATATGGGCTCTGTTTGGCTTCATTTTTAGAATCTATTTTCAGAAATTGAAAAAAAAGAGAAGAAATTAGTGTGACACTATTAAACACCTAAAAGATATTTTTATTTTTTTAAAAATTTATTTCTACCCCCAAAAGATAAAACCATGTGAAAATAATGATTTTATTTATTTATTTATTTTTCCCATTTTCTAAACCAAATTAATTTTTAGTTTTTTCAAGGTACATGTCTAGGATCAATAAATTTACCGACCTATAATTGGTTTCTCCATACCATTAAAAACCTTTTAATTCCTTTTCATCAAGATTTTAAAAAGCGGCCGCAACCGTTATGTAATAGTTATGGTGGCTACCACCACCCATTACCGCCACTATATCAGTGTGACGGAAATTCACATGTGTAACGGACGGTCGTTTCGGTGTTGCGTATCGGCCGTAACGGTCTGTTACACACTGTTACACCATTTTACAATATTCTAAATTGCTTCCTCCCCCCCTCAAAAAAAAAGTTTACCAAAAAAAAGAACAAATACTCGAGTGATCCAAACCCAAATAAATTTTTTTCCTTTATAATTTTTTTTATAATTTTTTTATTTCATTACATTAACATGTAAAATAAAAAATATATAAACAGTTGTATTTATTTTTATAATCATTTTATTTAATATTTAATTGTAAATATTTTTTATTTAGTTAGCTGTAAAGTGTTGTCTAAAAAAATGCCTCAAAAATAATTTTTGTTTATGGCACAATTTCTATTTTTATAATCATTTCATTTAAGTAAGTATTGGTCAAAAATAATTTGTAAACATTTAAAATCAATTATTCTTAAAGTCCTCAACTATTAAAATAAAATGTAAAAAACTCATTTTATAGTGATTTGAAAGTATAAAATATATTGGATCATACTTAAAAGTAACAAAAATTAATCAAAATCTATTTTAAATTCCAATAAATGTGATTCTGAAAAGAAAAAAAAAAGGGTATCAGTAAGTTTTCTTCAAATTGTACGAAAAATAAAAAAAAATCACGGTTCAGGTTACTGCAGTCATTATGTTACGGTCTTTATACCCTGCAACCGCAACAGCGTCACTGCAACCGTTACGGTGACCGCAATCGCTTTTCAAAACTTTGCTTTTCACCCAAATTATCCAAATCATGCCCAAAGAAGCCAACATCCTCACTGTCTTACCTTTGTTCTTAGCTCTCCCCTCCCTAATTATGGAAGAGGTCTGGTCTGATGAGGAACATGCATGTGCCCATTTTGGTATTACAATTATATAACTATAATTTTACGTATTTAATATTTGTGTTTATTTATTTTTAATTAGGACTTAATAAATATTTAGTTTCTTCTTTTGTTAGGATCTAGTTTTCTATTTTAAATTACGGTGTTGGCCTATAAATTACTGAACCTCATCTCTCCTGGTGACTTTGAACTGGGGCCCTTTTTTTGGAATTTCTGTGTTGTATGTTTCTATCATTTACCAAATATGTATAACTTGTCTATGTATTTGACGTCTAGATGACATTAATGTTCTTTTTAGGACACTGATGCAGTGTTGGTTTGTATGCATTGAATTACCATGATTAATTCCTCATTATGTGTGGATTTTGAAAATTGATGGAAGTTTATTTAGAGCATCTCCAAAGGTAGTAGGCATTTTACCTATCTAAATATTACTATAAAGTATATATTTTATTTTGCCTATCAACTATTTCATGTTTTTACTCCAACCATGCTCTTTATTTTAGCTATTTATTCAAATACTATTAATTTTATAGAATGCCACGTCAATAACATAGATGGAGGGAAATGATCCTAATGATTGAATACATTTTGCCTAGCGTTGAAGGCTAGCTACATGTAGCTAGTGAATATGAGTTGAGCCAAAATGCCTAATCATATGCCTAGTGCATTGGAATTGAAAAAAGTGAATCACACTAGGCATTTTAACTAACAAGTATCATATGCCTAGTGCATTGGAGATGCTCTTAAGTTGTATGTTAAGTGACCAAGGTTATAATTTTATGGAAGGAAATAATCTAAATTGTTATTATCATCTTTGTTATGGCACAAGTGCCATTTTATAGCCAAGTCATTTGTTGTATTTTTTTGGGTAATATCATCTTGCTGTGGGTTTTTTTTTTGGTTGATTTTTTTCACCAAGGTACATACATACTCTTGGTGCTAGCACTGCTCTAGATTACATTTCCGGAAACTAGGTTTAGATGGTTATTATTATGCTGGTTTTCAGATGCTGGTATAATTAAATGGAGGATATGTCCCTGGAGACGTAGTAGGATACATATAACTGGCCCTAATAGGTGTGGTCTAAGGCTTTGTTGAGTTGAGTTGAGTTTTTGAGGTTTGGGGACTCTGATGGTGTATCATTCTTGCT